CCTCTGCTGGACTGGTTTCAGCGAACTCCTGTGCCCATCTTCGAGCAGTACTTACATCTACACATGCTTCACCATGACAAGCTTCATTCGCTTATGAGTATCAATGGGCGCAGCCCCCTCTGCAGTAAGGAACTCAATAACAGCTCTTTGCTTTAAGCGCACATTCATAGGTTTGCTGGACGCCATTTTCTCGTCGACAATGTATCGTTGCTTCCATGATGTAAACAGCAATAGCATAAAGGTGTGACATTATAGCATAATTCTGTTTTTGGGGGGTTTGAGAGTATACATATTGAAAGTCAATGTGTACAAGTTTCATGAAGATATCTTGAATAGTTTAGAAGTTATTGGAGAGGAGGCAAACCTTCTTGAACGACCCTCGTATAATTCTTTACATCTTAATAAAACGTCATCTAAAACAATACCTGCGCCTGTGTTGGAACGTTCCGGCGCCTCACCGTCGCAGTTAGAAGACGTGTTCGATTCTCATGAGGACAGAATTTGTATGGAGTAAGGAATAAATAAATAAATAAATGAATAAATAAATAATAAATACTAGTTGGGCCCCCTTTCATTGAAAGGAATTATCGGTGCTTTAACATCAACTGAAAGTCATTGGCCTACTATATTTATGCTCTACTGGAATGGAGCAATAAATCTTGAGAGAAAAATGGCACACTTGTTTCCAAGTCGCCAAATATAAATAACAAAGGAGCCCAGAAAAAGCGATGATGGGCATCAAACGAAAGGATCACAGTCGAATTTAGTACCAAGTAAAAATAAAACACATGAGGCTAGATCTATACGGGTCGCACACTTAAAATAGTGCTCAGTATTGCGCGACAATGCGCGATAGTATCGAACGGAAGTACGACTTGAAATACACAAACCTAGCGGATTTTCTAAAATGGCAGAGACAGATGCGTTGACCTACAAAAGCAATCGGCGAAATAAAGAAATTTAGCTTTTTGCCGCGAAACTGTCTCAAAACTGAAAAAAGCGAAGGGCGTCATGATCTGTAGAATATTTTAAAGAATCTTTTGGCGAAAACTGCATGTCGATCGAGACAGCCATTAAAAAGCCTTTTGAATAGCAAAATTCGGCCACCACAAATAGATAATAAAAATGAATGAATTAATGAATGAATGAATGAATGAATGAATGAATGAATGAATGCATAGAATAAAATCTGACGAAATAAAGTGGACAATTACAGGTGCTGGGATGAACCTGAAGCCTGAAAGAGTTGCCCAGCATACAACAAAACTGATTGATACACCTGACATCTTCGCAGATTTGATCAGGTAAACCGTTGAAATTAATTAAGATGAGACAAAATAAATCTTTACTGTCCAAACGCTGGCACATTGGTCTGACGTTTCACCACGCGCGCGCACGCACGCACGCACGCACGCACGCACGCACGCACGCACGCACGCAGGAGCGCGCACTCACCCATACTCTCAATCTCTCACTCTCTCTCACTCTCTCTCTCACTCTCTCTCTCACTCTCTCTCTCACTCTCTCTATCTTTCTCTCTCTCTCTCTCTCTCTCTCACTCTCTCTATCTTTCTCTCTGTCTCTCTCTCTCTCTCTCTCTCTCTCTCTCTCTCTCTCACACACACACACACACACACACACACACACACACACACACACACACACACACACACACACACACGCACACACACACAAACACACTCTCTCTCTCCCTCCCTCTCTCTCTCTCTCTCTCTCTCTCTCTCTCTCTCTCTCTTCTACACACATTTGTACACATATACCCACACGCACAATATAAATGAACAATTATTATTAGCAATCGATCAGTTAAACAGTTTCTCTTTTCTTTTTTATTTCTTTCTTTTTTTTGGTAGGAGACTTCTCCTTCTTTTTGATAGCATATTATCCTTTTCGGAGCACAACCTCCTTCCTTTTTTAGTAAGTGTTTTGCGGCACTTGCAACACAATAAGGTCATTTAAGTGCCGAAGAGTAGATGTACTACACAACCTCCTCAATATAATGTATCGTCAGCTCAGTTTGTATCATTCTGGGATATGGTGTCGATGTTCCTTGATTGAAACTCCAATGGGATGTCTTGAATCTGTCTGTCTGGCACAGTTGCAAGGCTCTCCGCCTTCTTGTCTTGGTCCAATCGGAGATCGACTTTAAATTAGGAGTTCACTGCCTCTGAAAAAAACATTAGCGATATTGAAAAATAAGACCATAAGAAGCCTTTATGAAGCAGCTTTGAAAATTAGTAATATTAATAATAATAATAATAATAATAATAATAATAATAATAATAATAATAATAATAATAATAATGATAATAATTTTAACAAAAAATTTATTTTAACAAATAAAAATAAAATAAATAAATAAATAAATAAATAAATAAATAAATAAATAAATAAATAAGTTTGTAAAGAAAGAAAGAAAGAAAAATAAAAACAAAATAAAAATAATAAAAATGATAAAAATAAAAACAATATGAAATAAATATTAAAAAGTATCAAATAACCATGTAGCTGATAATTTTACTTTTGCTATCAGTTCTATATATGTAAGAAGTCGGATGTTTGTTCTCTTTCAAAGCATCCTGTTGTTCAAATGAGTTGTGTTTTTTGCTGTCTTTCTGTCTATGATTCTCATCTGGGGGTGGTTATAGAAAGTTTTCTAGGTTGTAGCACAATATCTACCTCAGTATCGTATATGATAGAAAAACGTGGAAAAAAATACTTCTAATCTGTAACCTTTTTGTTAATGTAACACATTCGGCTTCACAGAAATTTGTTTCCAGACAATATTGTCACAGCTTGTTTCCTTCAGGTAAGTCTTGATCTTTGTACTGTACCTCGTCTCTCTCTCCTTCTCTCCCCCCAACTCTCTCTTTCTCTCTCTCTCTCTCTCTCTCTCTCTCTCTCTCTCTCTCTCTCTCTCTCTCCCTCTCTCTTTCTCTCTCTCTCTCTCTCTCTCTCTCTCTCTCTCCCTCTCTCTTTTTCTGTTTTTCTCTGTCTCTCTCCTCCCCATTCCAATGCGCTCTCTGTTTCTCTTTCTCTTATCTATATAAGAACACCCTGTATCTCTCCTTTCCTTTTTGAATGTTTGTGTTTTTGTGACTGTGTTTATGTATGTGTGTGTGTGTGTGTGTGTGTGTGTGTGTGTGTGTGTGTGTGTGTGTGTGTGTGTGTACTTGTGTGTGCAAGTGAGAGTCTTCGTCTGTCTGTCTGTCTGTCTGCCTGTCTGTCTGTCTGTCTGTCTCTCTATCTGCCTGTTCGTCTGTCTGTCTGCCTGTCTGTCT